ATAAAATAGTAAACGTTTCTTAGCCTTTAATTTTTTGTAGTCTGTCACTCACCAAGAATTCGCTGATCACTCTAATTAGAATTATAATCATCACACATCACATCACATCAACAGCCTTTAATAGTCCACTGCTGGACATAGGCCTCTCCTTAGAAAGAAGGTTTATATAAAGAATTATATCTATTATAAAGAATTATAATACTCGTTCGTAATTGAGTATTAATGGGATATGTAGTTTTAGAACTTTGAAGGCATTATTAAATAACCATGCATGTGTTACGTAACAGAAAGGGTCATGTTTTTATCTATTTCACTATATTTGATGTGTTATACATGTGTCAAATATTGTTTTAAATCAAAATGTTCGTCGATTTATGTTTAGTTCAAAATATGAAACTTTAAAATAAAATCAATTAAAATTATCAAAACTTAACTATTCTAAAATATTAACTAATAAACATATTTCGTTATTTCCGGACCGATACGACCTTCAAACCTTCAAGGAATGAGAGTACTCCTTCCTAAAAGGCCGGCAACGCGTTTGTGACTCCTGAGTTTGCAGACGTTCATGGGCTCCGATGGTCACTTTCCATCACGTGACCCGTCTGCTCGTCTGCCCCTCTAACATAAAAAAAAACATTTAGTTACATACATTTTTTAAACTTTTCATATTGAATTTGATTCAATATTTTGAAAGAATAATATTTTATGAAAATATCCAAGAGGATAAGAATCGCCATTTTTTATACGTGTAAATTACTCTGTAGCACTTGTGCAATAAAGACGACCTTAATGATACATCATTCATCAAAATCGAGAAACAAAGATCGATGTCAACCCTTACTACGGGCCACTGTCGGTCATTAAAAATATTCACAATATTACACTTATATTCCTGCAACCAAAATTTTGCTAAGAGTAAATCTTATTTATGTACTGCACCATTTCAAGTTTGACTTGAAGTTAAAGCAAATGAAGTTTAAGTGTAATGTCATAAGGAAGACGTAATGCAATAGGTTTCTAGGATTATCATTAGATAAATATTACAACCATAGACATAGTAGGTCAAAACCTCATTTCTAAGAAGACGCCTATGTCCAGCAGTGGACTTTTAAAGGCTTCTGATGATGGTGAAACATTGCAACTGGAAGACACACGTCGATTCAAAAGGGTTAATAGTTTTGTTTACGTGCTTAACCGATTAAGGAGAGTACTTCTTGCGTATCATGGTCATGTTGGTTCTGTATTGAGATACGGTCTATTATTATGGGGAAACTTAGTGGATGCTACTCGGGTTGTAATAAGTTGCGGGTTGTCGGGTTGCGAAATGGTTGTAATATTTGATGATTTTTTTTATTGATTTTAATGCCACAACTATGTCCATGTAGAAATCACAATCACATGTAAAATCGCTGCGGCTAAAGCCAATGATTTCATTAAATGAATATGATTTAAAATTAGCTATAATTTCCATGTCTACTCCTTATGAATCTTATAAACCTTATTTTAGAAAATTTGAAAAATTACCGTTGCCCTGTATGTAAATCTTTTAAGTTAGTTTATTTGTTAAAAGTAACCCTTGACACTTGTATTGCGCGCGAATATATGTTTTGAATTCTTAAATAAAAGAAGGCAAAAGATATATTCTGCGCAATACTCGTGACAGTGAAGACTAGTCCTGGACTTGGTTCCCAGAACTACATTATTTCAAAATAAATGTTATGTGTATCAAAATATTTAATAAGTTGCCACCAATCATAAAGACGTATGTGATATTATGTGATATTTGAAGTTAGTGTATTTGTTAAAAGTAACCCTTGACACTTGTATTGCGCGGGAATATATCTTTTGAATTCTTAAATAAAAGAAGGCAAAAGATATATTCCGCGCAATACTCGTGACAGTGAAGACTAGTCTTGGACTTGGTTCCCAGAACTACATTATTTCAAAAAAAATGTTATGGTTTTGTTATTCTGGTGGGCACTGAAAATCAGTACTGGGACGGACCCTGTCCATCACAGTAAATGCTGAGGGTCCACCTATTCTGTGCGACACAGCGTACAACTCTCATCCGCACAAGCTATCTATGTGGTTAAGATTGAGAGGCCTGCTTGGTTACATGCAAAACATAGTTTCTCTCTGGTACCTAACCTAAAATAATAGTGATCACCACGTCAGCGCCACGTCATATATGATCACAGTCTCACAGACAACTAAATACTCATGACCACAGATAGCGTAGTATAGTGTTGCACGTACGTCAATAGTTATAAGCTTTTAAAAAAATGTAATATTATTGTAAGTTGTATTAAGTTAGTAATAAGTTGTATGCTGTGTTTTCCTACAGAATAAAGTTTATTTTATCATTTTATTTTTTATTTATATGTGTATCAAAATATTTAATAAGTTGCCACCAATCATAAAGACGTAAGTGATATTCAAAAGGAAATTGTAAAATGGATTTTACAAAAAAAAACTCAGTAAATGAATACCGAAATGAGCGATAATTGGTAATCGATAGTACCTTATAGTATTTTAGCACATTAATGATAAATGATCGGAATGAAAAAATTTAAATTGCAATATTTGACATTATTTATAATTATTGATGGTGAGCTAAATAGTCTTTGTCATTAAATCGATATCATTATAATATGCATGTACATTTTCAATATGTGCTTCTTTTATAATAACTGTTTACAACCTATGTACCGTATTTCTGCAAATAAAGTATCATTTCATTACGATTATTTTAATGACTTAGCATAGTGTGCTAATTTAACAGGACCAAAGATTATCTGGTGCTAAAATGTCGTCCTTTTTGAATGTATAGTTTCATTTAGGGCCAGTATAACTGTCATTCTATATAATTTTGCACCATGACAGGTCAAAATATAAACTTAACCTGTACAGTTTCATGTGGCCGAATATAGATAATATTATAGAACATGTTATTAAACATTAAGTATTAAAAAAATATGAGGTACAAAGAATTAAATATAATTTAATACAAAGCTTTAGCACCAATGAGTGTTAAGAAAAAAAACGCTACACAAAAACAGAAGTTCTAAACAAAACAAAAAAAACAACAAAACAAAACAGGTGTATTATGAAAGTAACTAAAATTTTCTCTTTACTTAAATACAAGCCATTTGGATGCATAGATCGGTGCTGATACTGGTGCAGCATGAATGTGGAACGAGGGTTGCAGAGGCGATAGGGGTGTGTGTCATGGGCGGGTAGTGGGGACTTGAGTCAACGACCTCTACTGACGTCAGCACGACCTGATGGTACCCGGCTGCAGCTTAACCGGAACTCTGACCTCGTGCACTGATGTTTGCATATTATACTGATATGTATATGCTCTCTGCAATGACTGTTCTCGCTTAAAATTTATGCTATTTGAGCGACTATCGTTTTTATTACAATCGTGGCAAGGTTCATAGCCAGTTTATGCATAGTAGAGGTACATCAAATTATAACATGACTTAATAAAGTGTTAGTGCTTAGTTCTCTTATTGTATACATACACTTTCAAGTTTCAAATTCAAAATCTCAATTATAAATCGTTAATTAAAAAAAAGAATTGAAAATCATAGATCATCATATACGGAGTCACCACAGCTAGGTATAGGTTGTGTTATTATTAGTTCGGCAATTAACGCCATCAATAGGAATTTCATACCTTTGAATTACCTAACATTTTGAGCAGGTTGCACTGGCCGCGATCACAGGCGGACTGACCTTCCCTTATCCAGTATGTGAGGTAAAAGGTTCGACGGAACACCGATAGTGTCCAGTGCAAACAATGCAACCTGATCGAAACGTCCGCCTATTCAGAGGTATATATTATATAATACCTATTGATCGCGTTTAATCTCGTATAAATAATTATAGATCGTAGAACGAAAAAGTTAAAAACAAGTGTTACAAACGTTTGCTTCGTCAAATGTAACATTATTTAAAAATGGTTAATGAAATAAAAATAGGACTACGAGTTTTGTAACATATTTTAAAACATAAACCTCGGTCGTTTGGTATCTAATTAATTACCTATCTAATATTTTATAATCTGTTTTGAATCGTATGGTCATGAGAGTATTTAAATGATTGATAGTGACTGTAGGTGTACAAATAATTAAACGGATCGTTTGTTATTTATTGAATGTCGTAAAAACGTAATATTTACAGCGTCCGTAACAACTAATATTGCACGGTCAGTGCGACTCCTACAGTAGTTATAATTGGTTGCCTTGGCCTAAAAACTCACCACTCTGCTCACGACTGATTCGCCAATTCTAGATTTAGGTTTTCAGTTCACTGGGTTGTGATGCCGTTTCCGATCTACAAACATAAGAATTTAGCAGTTTTCTAACGTTGTTAAACGATGATGGTCACAAGTCTTTTTGATAATTTGAAGTAATCATTTACTGAATATTTGATTAATTTATATCTATTTGTATTATTCTGGGAATCTTAACTGTTTAAAAAAATCGTTTATACCCAAATGCCACAATTTAAATCCATATGATTTATATTGTCTCACTATTCATGAAGTCGTCATTAAAATATTTAATTATTTCAATTATAAGAAAAAGTTCTATTACATAAAATAATTATAATAATATACGTTGTTTTCTGTTGTAGTCTCATAATATATATTTTTAGTAACACAAACATAATTGTGAGTGAATTTCGTCTATAAATAAACTATAAATATAAAAAATGAAACTGGTGTAAGCATATGATGATTTATGTAAAATGGGCACACTCAAGAGAAGCGAAACGGACTAGTCCAAGTCTATTTGATAGTCGCGATATCTGATGGGATGATAGTGTGAAGGCTCGGGTGGTCAGTGTGGTAAGGTAAGGGTGTGTGTTAGGGGCGGGCGGCGCGTAGCGGCGTCTACGACGAGTCGCGGGCGGCGTAGCTCGGTCGCGTCGCGCGCCATTCGCGCTGACGCCGCCGCCGGCCGCACGCGCCCCTTACTGCGCGGCTCATGCATCTCCCGCCGATTGTGCACCCGCACCCGCTCGACATGACTGTGACAGAGTGCCATCGCCACCACCACCTGGACCCCACTGACCCCGCCGAGTCACCCCGGGAGGTGGCCCCCAATGACTCCGACGTGCTCCTCGGCAGAGTCCTCGCAGGTGAGCACCCCGATCAGCTGATCGTGACAGCTATACCTAATAGCTGGTACTCAAGATGCACTAGAGAAGTTGTTTAAAGTGATTTGTGATGTTAACGAAACTCCTCAAGCTTTGTGTACTGTAATTACTTCAATGTTTTTAGTAGTGACTTACGTTACTTATGTTATTGTACGTACCACCTGTAGCATCATTGTGACGTAGTGTGTGCCCTTTACATTTGTTAGCTATTCTTAAATAACGGTATGATAAAGGATAAAATAATGTCCTTTTCACTTTTCTGAGTTGAGTAGTGTAGTGCGGGTGTAGGCGCGGGGTGCGACAAGCTTATCTGGGTCAAGCGGAGGTCGTTGCCCTCGGCCTTCCCGGCTATATTCGACGTCGCTAATCACCGCCCATCCCCGCCCCGCTCGCTCATGCCGGCTTTAAAATCACAGGACCGAACTGCAACTTATTTCTTAAAACTTTATAATTTTACATTTATAGCAGAAGACTAATCTAACTTTATTTTGTAGTATATATTTTTTAAAATATTATTGTAGTATTTACGTAAGTAAATATCACAATAATATTGTATAAATATACATAATAGTGCAAGACGTACATATATTATAGTTTTAGATATTTCCTTACAAACTGATTATTTGAAACGGTCATCATATTTTATTTTAATTCTGATTATTTAACAGTGTTACAAAATGTTTAAAACTTATTCTCAACAATACATTTATTGTATGTGCATATGTACTATATGCATATACAATAATTATTAAAACTTTTTTTACTCAGAATTATAAAACTTCCAGAATTAATAAACGGACTAGTTAAATTTATATGGGACCTAATTATTTTGCAAGCAATCACATTCAAATAGTAAACACTGGTTTGCCAATCTATAATGATTGCATTATTTGCAAAGACGAGCGAATGAGTCTCTGCGCTCGACATCATGGTCGAGTCGAGTTTCGCAAGTGAAGCCCATCGCTGAATGCCATTTTATTTTGGAGGCCGCGCGCACAGTCGGAGGGCCCGCGGTCAACGGCCCCGCGTTTTATCTAGGTCACCTCAGAATAACCTAGCGCCGATACTCTAATAATAATCTACATGAAGCCTTGAAATAATGTTGTCCCACTCTCACTCACGACACGACTATGCTCGCGAATAGCGACAATCGGTATTTCGTAAGACATGCTCTATTCCGTGTGCGCAGTCGCTGATTTCGACGTCTCTTTTACTCCTAGCTACAAAGCTAGACAGAACAAGCAATTGAAATATAAATGTCTAGATTTCATCTCATCCAAATAAGAATACGTTTGTATGTAGGTAAGTTTATATAACACCTGACGTTTGTTCCAATTTTGGCCCTTACTTTTATATTTGAAAATCAAAATTGAAATGCGCTAAAGTTTGGGTACATAAGTAGATATATATCAAAGTATCATTAATTTCACATTAAATTTTTTGGGAAATTTAAAACCTAAAAAGAGCGCATACCGATATAATTATTTTTTATCAAATCAAATTCCTGAGTGATGTGTTACTACAGTAGAGAAAAACAATTACATTTCTACATTGTTTGTAACACGTACCTACAAATGCAGTATGACCGTAAAAAATATATATTTTTATGAGGCATGAATTTTAAACAAATAATATTGAAACAATGTGTTGCGTGTAGCGCACTGTGTGACGTACATTTCATGTGGCGCGGGGTTAGGTGCGCGCGGGGTGCGGACTCGGTATTGCGATCAAGGCCTCGAGTTCGTTCACCCGCTTGCAATTGGGTCACGCTCGACGCCCCGCACCGCGCTCCTCACATACAAATAACTGTTTAAATCACACTAAATCCGTACCTGTAACGTCACACTAAGTATGTAGGTAACCTTAATTATTTCAATTATAAATTAAAAACAGACTCAAGTCTTTTGATAGTTTACAATCAAGAACACGCGGGTTCTTGTTTGTATATTAGGAATTAATCACCATTAATCGACACACGCGATTAGAATGTAAAGAACAAAATGGTTTATTATGTAAAAGCAATCGAATCACGCGCATTGAATATCAATGAGTTGTTTTTGAAAGTTTGTTAAAGGAAAGAGAGTGAGTTCGTTTAACTCTACACATCTGACGGCATAAAGAAAGTAGTTATGCAAGTACACATAACTTTGCATATCGAATACATAACTTTAAACCTACATATTTAATTAATAGATACGTCTTGAGTGGCCATTCAAGTCTTCTTCATACCATATCCGTGCTCTAAGCACTTATCACCGGGGACTTTGTACAGATAAATAGAATAAATAAAATTTTAGATAAGATACACTTATGCTAATCGATGTTAAAATTATTATAACTTAATTAAGTTAAAGACTTCTTCTATTATTTCTAATCATTAGACTATTAGATTTTTTCACTTTGATAAAAGGGCAAATATTAAATTTTAATTAACTTTTTTTATGTTAGAATAAAAAATATAGATTCCAGAATAGAAGTGAAAGTTTCTAGAAATTAAATAAGTTTAATGTAAGGGTATTGGGGTGCGCGAAGGTTGCGGCGGGGTGGCGACACGAAAACGGTTGCGGGGAGGCGCTGGGGGGGAGTATAGGCAGCTGCGAGAGGCTGCGGGTCGACGCCCGCGCCGCCCTGACCCCAATTTGATCTGCGCTCGCGTCATATCGCGTGGACCTCTCGTCCAGGCACACTCAGCGGAAAATACCCATCGTTTCAACATAACAGCTTTTTGAAATGACTAAGTAAAACGGTGCTTTAAATTTAAACAACTTTTTTACAAATATTTATCAATTACATAATTATTTCAATCACTTATAAGCAATGGATGAAAGTTTTGGATGAAATATAATAATACTTACGAGTATTTCTATCTGAGTATTTGTTAATAAGTTGTTTTATTTCATATCATTAACAAAATAACTCCTTTCAACAAAAAGAGTTGGTTCGCTCTTCATTATTCACCAACGGTCTGAACGTTTGTAGAAGCCCTAATGACTAAGAGAATTTACAGTATTAATATTTCAACACTTATATTGTACACTAATATTGCACATAAGTAACGACACTTATTGCTGCTCAGTTTCAATTCAATTCAATTCACAGACATGGTTGCCCATGACTAAATGCGTTTGCCATTTTTCTTTACACAGATAACTAAATAATAACAAATACAAGAGCTTTTCCAATTATTATTCACATACTAACAAATAAAAAATTTAATCGACTTAAATCGAGCCGGTTTTTAATTTAGTTGTATGTTTTTAGTGTTTGTAATCTCAGAACGCAGTAATTTATAAACCGATTTGGATTTTTTTTATTTTTCGTTTAAGAGAGAGAGTATACTTCTCGTTTGGTATTCAAATTTCAGATTTGAAGAAAAATTACCACCCCTAAGCCTGAAATGCGAAAGTAAAAAATAAGAAATGAAGAAAACGGTTTATTACAACTCAAAATGATATAACGCATTGAAGTCGGTTTTATACTTTTTACCCTCTGAATCGCCACAGACAAAAATGGTAGTTGGTATGTATATGTATGTATATGCACGCGTATTATTCAGCCAAACCCGCTAACCCGCCACTTACCGTACGAACCTAAACTTTGAGAGCACTGTGTCGAACATTGTGTTCATTGCCTCATTTTTTGTTCGCGACCTGCTGTACATAAACTTTGTAATTTAAAGTTTTGCCTAATTATTTGTAAATAAATACTGGGTCATGAGTTCATGACTTAGATAGATCATACTGCTCGATGGCAATGTGAAGCAGATTAGCCAACGTTCCTTTTTCAAATGTTGTTTCTTTTGCAAACAGAGGCAATAGGTAACTTAAGTTTCTTAGATTAATTTAATATATTAACGACAATGTTTAGCAACAGCAACATAAATCTCTTAAACATAGAACTCAAAATTCAATAATAATATGCTGAGATATAAAGTGTCCCATATAGATACAAATAACTTTTTTACGATTTCTACAATACTGCTATAATATGAGTACTATGCTATATATGTGAATCCTTACTAGTTCTTACATAAGAAAAGTCATGTACAGAAATAAACAAAAATCTAATTATTAACAAATAATTTCTGTTATGGCGAGTCCACTTTGGTCAAACTGTTGTCTTAACGCTCTAGGGATCTCAAATTTCCACGTAGTACCGTACGCATAGTACCGTAGACCTTCAAGTTAGAGAGTAAGTAGCGTAGTAACCATTAACTACTTTCTTGGTGAATTATCTGAACTCTACTAAAAGGTCGGTAATTTAATTTCTGACAGTTTTTTTCTGAATATTATAAATCTAATAAATAATATAAATAAATAAAAGAAACTTTAGTAATAATATGTAACATTAAAATCCACAACTTTATTTTTTTGGTACTATCCCGACGCAGTAACAAATGTGGCGCTGTTGGGTTCAATGGGGTCGTAACCTCTGTGGCTTTGTTTTTTTTAGTAAACTTATTTCGATACTCGAAGTATGTATCCGATCATTCATGTTATACATATATCATGATGATATTTATCAAATAAATAGGCCTTTAATTCAATGTATGCTCTGTATCAATTCAACTATTTTACCTTGGAAAGAATACGAATGCACCTTGAATCAGTTCACTTCACATCAAATTTATAGATTGTCACTGTAGTTTGTGTTTATTTCCAATGGCACTACAGTCAATTCATTAACTACGTATAGTTTAGGTATAATTTAACTCCCCTATAGAAGTTGAGGCTAACTTTATAAAAAAAGACGTTTGCGAGTTTAGTTTTTCGTTTCCTCTAAGATAAAAACAAAAAACAGCAACTATGAACACCTCACATCCATATACCACAGTACAAATATTATTATATCAAATTAAGAAGCATGTTTAGTTACAATATTTATACTGTGTTTTGTTTTGGAAAGTTGAGCATATGCAATAGTAAGTAAAAAAAGAGTAAAAAATAACGTAATTTATAGCGTTACTTTAATTAATGAGCAATGTAATAACAACCATAAAGTCAATTATGTTACTTGAGAACAACTTCAAAATATAAGCAAAATGATTGCCCACCTCCTT